AAAAAAAAAAAAAAAAAAAAAAAAACCACCTCACAATCTATAGACTGTTGGCTTTATCAATGTTTAAAATGAATATATTTTAATGAACTCTATAAACTCACCAGCCACTCCTCAGAAGGAAGTTTGGGCAATTTGCTTCCATAGAGATACTGCCTCGGAAACCCAAGGTGGGGTGCTATGAGTCGGGCCCGACTCGACAGCAGTGTGTTTGGTTTTGGTTTATAAATGACATTAATCTAACCAAACCAACCTCACTGCCCTCAAGTCAATTAGACTCATAGCGAGCGCTCCTTGGGTTTCCGAGGCGGTATCACTACGGAAGTAGATTGCCCAACCTTCCTTCCGAGGAGTGGCTGGTGGGTTTGAACCGCCAGCCGTCTGGTTAGCAGTTAAGTGTCTTAGGCACTATGCCACCAGAGCTCCCATAAATGACATTAGCAAAGAAAAAACTGCTCCTGTATTTACCCATTAAAAAAAAAAAAAAATTGCTAGCATTACAACTGTATCTGTTTCTATTTTGAAGCTCAAGGAATTAGAGTAAAATGCTACCTTCAGAATGAAACGAATTCCCATTGAACCCTGAGATCTGATCCAAATCCTGTTGTATGTGCACGTCTCTCGAATCAGGCATACTATTAAAAAAAAAAAAAAAAGGGTTTTCATTATTTATATTCTCCTTCTGAAATTTAATTAAAAATAATATAGTAAAACCTGTAAAGATGGAATCCATGGAAGACAGAAACTTGTCAGAGAAGGCAAACTCAAATATTTTCTAAAATGAGTGATAGTTGTGGAAGAAAATTCTAAAACAAAAAGGACCGGGATTACCAATGAGATAGACACCGGTGAAACCCCCAAGACCATGGCCTCTAGTTATCCTTTGGGCCTGGAATTGAAGTCACTCCCGTGGTTTAACCCTCAGCCAAACAACAAACGGGCCTAAGAGCTGAACACCTACATCAGGGAGATGCACTCCTTAGACCAGTCAACCGTGGAGATCAGAAGGGCAGCGTGTGTGTAGGGGGAGAGGCAGAGAGTCAGGAAGGCACAGGTAATGAGGACACAGGTTGATTTCAGGGAGGAGGTGGGAGGAGAACTGTTACATGGCGGAGATTGTAATCACTGTCGCGCAACAAAATGTGTATGAACTGTTGAACGGAAAATCAATCTGCTCTGTAAAATTCCACCCAAATCACAATAAAAAGTTAATAAATAAATATTTAAAAAAAAAAAAAATAAAAGAGTGATAGAAAAGTGGAAAGACTGTATCTTGTGTAAAGCAGAAAACTTGTGAGATTCAGAAAAACAAGACAGGCCTGGTGTGTTCCGGCTGTCACAGGTTTGACTGTAATTCATCATAGAAATGAATTCAAATTCTAAATCGGGTCTTAAATGACAAGCATACCATCAGACTGTCCGTTTTAAAAAACATCTTTGTAACTGAACTAGGATAAGCATAATCACTATCGTCTGCATTGCATTTTAGAGTTAAAAAAGAATCTCACTTAATCCTGACCTGTGAGCGGGGTGTGGAAGTCACGTTTTATACAAGAGCAATGGTGAGAGAGGTAGAATTTGCAGGTGTCACAAGGCTGGTACACAGTGGAACTAGAACTCAGACCTCACCTGTGCCTACACGCTGCACACTTTCCTATAAAAGTTTATGGAGCTCAAATCTTCCAGAGAAACCTACTAGTGTTTCACCATCCTTCTCTTCTCAAGTTTGCTTTTATAAAACTCATTTCCTTTTCCTGTGAAATTCATCAGTGTTGTTGCTGTTCCAACTCACAGCGACCCCGTGTGCAACAGAATGAAACACTTCATGTCCTGCGCCGGCCTCAAAATACGTGCCATGTCGGAGCCCAGTGTGGCAGCCACTATGTCCACCCGTCTCATTGAGGGTCTTCCCTTTTTTCGCTGACCCTCTACTTCCCCAAGCAAGTTCTTCTCCAGGGACTGGTCCCTCCTGATAGCATGTCCAAAGTACGAGAGATGAAGTCTCACCATTCTCAGTTCAGAGGAGAACCCCAGCTCTACTTCTTCCAAGACAGATGTTCTTCTGGTAGACCTGGAAATTCAACAGCCTTAGCCAACGCCATAATTAAAGACATCAATTCTTCCTCGGTCTTCCTGATTCATTGTCCAGCTTTCACATGCATATGAAGTGATAGAAATTACCATGGTGTA